GTATGTCTGTGAATCCGGCTGTCATCGGTGGTTTCTAGGTTGAGTGTATTGAGTGCAGTGTAGTTGCAATTGTGGATACGTTAAGTGAATGTCTAGCTTTAGCAGGAATCCGGATGATCCAAAATGTAGTAAGCGATATAATCAGGAAAACTTTGTGGAAATAATACATTTTTTCATAAAAGTGTTACGGAAACAAAACCGTAACACTTTTATCATCTTTCAAACCTTTGCTTTTACTGCTTATATTGTATAGAAAAACATTGTTAAGCGTAGCATCTCTTTATGACTACCAGTTTTATTTATCAGATTATTAGTTTGTCTTTCATTTTTTATTTTTTTGTTACTTATATTTAATATCATAAATAAATACGCCGTAATAATATTATATATCAAAATGTTAAGAGATTTCCTTTTGATTCACATTTTATATCTATTTGAAATATTGCGATAAAAATTATTCATATCTTTGATGCAAAAAAATGAGAAATATAAATTTCAAACTCGTTTATTATCATGATGAGAGAGAATTAATTATGGATTGAACATATTTGAAAAATTTATCCAGAAATATATATGAAAATAAAATTCCACATAATTCCCATCTTCAGTTCTCAAGTGAAGAAATCAATTGATCCGCTGTTCTCAGATGCGATGATTGTTTTTTCTCTTTATATATATATTAGGCAAAAAACCGAGAAAAACGTTTTATCAGGATGCGAAAACATTAAATAGATTGGCGCCAGCATGATCGCTTTCAACCGGTACAGTTCGTCTTTAATATCGTATCTCGTTCTTCAGAAATGGCAGTGTACGAGCAAACCGGATGTGCACGCCTATTCGCGTTTAAATTCCGCATTAATGCGGAGCGCTCATATTTTACGCAATCGAACAAGTCTACCTCTTTTAGCGAGGTTCAAGTATGGACGGAAAACAAGTGCGTTATTATTCAGTCTACTTAGCTTCCTCATACCTAATTCATTTCTTCATTTACGTCCGTGATAAAACATGTTTATTACATGTCTAGAGTACCTTGCTTTTAATTATATCCTTTATTAACAAAATTTGATAATTTTAATTCAATTGATATCGTTCTTTTAAATAAAAAAAGCTTTAAATAAAAAAGCTTTCTTTTTTTTTACTTATCTTTTTTTTTACATTAGCGTAAATAAAATTGTATCTTGAAAATGGTAAAGAAAAGTATACTGTTGGAAAATTTAACTTAAATTTTACATATAGCGCATGTCCCAAACGGTCCTAATTTTTCTATTAATTTGATATAATATGGATATGTTAAAAATGGTGATACTAATACTACGTTAATATTTTACAAAATGAATGCAAACTTTATAGTAATTTGAAATAAATTTTGTGTAAAATCAACATATTTTAATGATGAAATTAACTTGGAAAAATGTTATTGACGGTTTGTAGTCACTCTCACTCCTATTGTAGAATAAAATCAACATTTTTTCTGTAAATTTTAACAGATAAATCCTATTACTAATAATACGGAATATATATCTATTGTATAAAATTAAAAAGTATATGCACATTGTGTTATTTTTACACTTTTTTCAATTGTTTTAATAATTTAACATTTGAATTCAATTAACACAACAGCAGTTAAATTAACACATGAATGTGTTAATTTAACATATAAATAACATATAAATAATTAACACAAAAATTTTAACCGGCGTATTTTTTAACAAAAAAAAAACACAAATTTTCCAACAATGTACAAAATTATATAACGGATAATTTTCTCGATCGCGGGATCACCGATCCTGTTCGAGACGCTGTCGTTACATCGCCGGATGTGAGCGCAATGACTGTTTGCAATGAATTTTCTCGACTGTCAAAGACGGAAGTGAACGAACGGCCGGGTGCGTAGCTGCATGTATGTACATTCACGCGATCGGCATAGCAAATCTTCCGTCTTGCACGTCGTCTCAATTCATATATTCTATCATACATACATACATATATACATATACACATCTCTTTTTTAACGAAGCGGGCAGGTTCGATCGGGCATCCTTTGTCGTCAAATTGAATTTCTCAGCGCATTGACGCAAGTTGTCGGCTAAGTTTGCCGTAACATTATTCATGGAAACTCGCGTATCTTTCTCTTCCGCGGCAAAATAGTTAACTCGTATCGCCGGGTATGGAAATTTTCTTCCTGGACCGGACGACGGGCAACGCTTATTGGTATTCTACTCGTTTGCCAGTCTATTGCTATTCCCTCGCACGATTCATTGTTCGTACCTGATAAGAGTACGACTCGAAGAGAAAAAGAGAGAGAGAGAGAGTAGGCAAAGTAGGAGAGTAGACTGCATTTCATTATCCTAACACGCGAAACCGCAGAATCCGTTTTATGAATAGATTTTTTTTTTCTATGAATAAGAAATAAATTTATATATATACATGAAAAATAAGCATCGTAATGTATTCCACAAGAAGAGAATCGATAAAAATAAATTCTTATAGATAGAAGAGAAATGAAAAATTAAGAAATGACGAGGGGCGAAAAGACATGTGTCAAGATATTTTATATCTCGAACAGGGGACGCATTTAACAAAATTAAACATCGCGCTTTCTCATTTATAGCCGTGTAACTTGCCGGTTGAAATTACGTTAACGTAATTTTTCTCGTAAGCTCGACGAACGGGAACCGGGCATGTACACCTGGTGAAACACCCACGGGACACACGGCTATGCGACGTTGTTGGCAGTCGAGCTACGAGGTGTAGCAATCTTTCACGCGTGGTACGTCGAATCTTTTTATAACAAAAGGAACCTAGATACGACTGTCCGTGAGTCATCGTGACAGCAATCAGTCGTGTTTCGTCGTTTCGGAAAGTCTTCTCTCTTTTTATTTGTAAATCCCACGGTAAATTATTACCCAGTCAATTAAATACTCGTTGAAAACTTATTTCGAGTCAGAGAAAAAAGGGATTGTCCCTTGTCACGATTTAAAGTGATTACCCGGTGTGTAATAAATATTTTAATAAAAAAATATGGGCATTGTCAGAGTGATATCAGTGTTGGATTATCGTTAAAAGATCTCAACGTTATTTCTCTACGTTTATACTTATCCTTTATTTATTTATGAGATCTTATAATGTGAAAAACTATTAGAAATATTCGAAAATATATTCGCCGAGGTTGAATAAAGTTAGCGATTAATTGCATAATTGCCCTTGTCAGTTGCGTGACGCTTCGAGGAAATATATATCTCTCTAGGAGAGAGAAAGAGAGATTATATAATCTAATAAATATAAACTTTAAACCTATACATGTAAGAGACAATATTTTCGAGTTTATTTAATATATTTTCTATTTTACTTTTTTTCTCTTCTATTCTTTTCTCTCTTCTCAACTTCTGTCCAAATCTTAATTTGTACGCGAATACAAATTTAAGAAACTGGAATAAGAGCTCATGAAAATTGATTCTAATTGTTCTACCGGATCGATCACACAATCGCGCGAATCAAACACGTCCATTATCTTACTATTGCGAGAGCAAAAAAAAAATGCGCTAATACTATAGTTAACAGCGTGTTTCTTCGCGCTCAACGAGGAAGAAAATGTGGCGGCGTGAAATTTTTGCGACCGCACTCGAGTGTGATGAAACGGTTGTTGATGATTATAATGGAGAACGCGACACGTCACGTGCGTCAGTTGCGTGAATAAGTCGTGTTGCCATTAAGTCGAGCGCCACGATGACGACGACGACGATGAGAAACGCCGGTGATCGAGATATATCTTGATCTCGCGGCTCGCAAACTCGTTCGTTTTCGCCGTTCGATGAATAATCGCGCTCGGATATACATATATGTATATATGCAATGAACGACGCAGCCGATCGTTAATTACCCGCGCTCTTGGCTGGAAGCAAACAATCATTAAACGTAACTACGTGTATGGGCGATAAAATCGCGCGCCGCACTTGGTCGCGTAAAATCCGACGCCCGAGAAAATTGTTAACGCTTGAATAACGTTTCGCTATGTCCAATTCATCCGCTTCTATTCAGCAACCGAGAAGGCTTTACTAAAGAATTAGTCGGTATCGGGAGAAAGATTACGATCACGATGAAGCGGATAAAAATAAGATCCAGCATTAAGGCCCCAGTCTATACTCTAACAGTATGAAAAATTTTTTTTTTTGAGGATATTAGAACTTGATCTTTTTGGCGTTTTACACATATTTTGATTGATGCTTAGACAGTATTTTTTAATTATGGATATTTTGCTTTTTTTTTTTTGTTTAATACGAGCGTAGCGTGTTCAAAAATGACGCTGCTTTGCCTGTAATTGTCTGAAATGAAAAAACTTTGTCTAGTTTTATTCCTTAGGATTTTTGGATGATATTGAAGCTAATTAGAATTTAAAAAATTAATATTTAATATTTTTCTAATTTTTTCAAGAAATGAAAAAATTTCAGCAAAATTGAAATATCTAAATTTTAAAATGACATTACTTTGTTATTTTCTAATTTTTTTTTTCTGGTAAAATCAGGTTCTGTACCCTAAAAATATCCGATTAAATAAAAATAGACTAATTTTTTTTATTTCAGATAATTACACAAAGAGCGGCATGTTACATCATCGAACCATGCATTTTTATTGAATAAAAAAAATGTTAATCCAAGATTTAAAAATATTGTTTAAACATTAATAAAAACATATGCAAAATGTCAAAAACATCAATTTCTAATATTCTTCAAAAAAAAATTCTCAAAAGTCATCAATTTTTCATACTGCTAGACTGCTAGATTGCTAAACTGGACCCTTAAACTTGTAAAAGTGCATTTATTTAATAATTGCAATTGCAATTATTAAATTGCAATTGCAATAGCCGCGCCATGGCCTTTATTTGCCGGTCTCTCCACTTAATATTTAATAATACTTTGGAACTGCGAGAACGAAGTTCGACGCGATGGGTCGACTTCGAAGGTACTTGGGGATCTCCTGCATATCCGGCTTTGTGTTCGCAGGAGGCTGAAGGCTGATCTACAGTACCTGAGAAGAAGGGGGCTGCTCAAGGCGTCCGGCGGCGAACTATCCCATCAAGGACGCAAATGCGCGCGATGCGGCGCGCCGTTCGGTAGATTTTACAACACCGGCGCGAGGTGCACGCGTTGCAGACACCGTGTGTGCCGGCAGTGTCGCATCGAGATCGGAAACCACGCAGCGGGCGACAAAGAAGCCGAGTGGATCTGCAACATTTGCTATAAAATTGCGTAAGGATCTTCTCGAGGCAATCCCACACGCGCATTTTTCTATCTTTCTATGAAAAATTCGGAACGTCAAATTAATTTTCTTTATTTTATTGAATGACAATTGAAATTAAATAAGCTGTATTTTCAAGACACTCGTTATTATTGCATGGAGAGAATATAATTTGTATTCTGATGGAAACGTGATATTTAAATATAATGTATTATATATCGGATGAATCCGAGAAATGGTGTGTCTCATTAATTCTTATTTTATAACATTTTTTTGTGGACGATAAAATTTTATACAGACTTTTGCTGATTAATATAAACAAATGTAAGATAAAAATGTAAGATAAAATTCCGAAAGGAAGATAGTAAGTGAATAAAAGTGTAGTGAAACTTCGATGATTTCGAATTTAGATAAAAAATGAAGGATATATTATATAACACGCCTTTCGCGATGCATCCTTTGTTTCTCGTTGTTGACCTAATTTCGAACCTGTTCAATTTTCAGAGAATTACACTTGGTTACCGGCAAGTGGATGTACGAAAGTCCAGTTTCCAGTGGATCCGTGAACGAGAAAACATCGCCATTTCCAGTAGATATACTGAGTCGCAGCATCCGACGAGCTTGGACGATTAATGGTGCGTTCCGATAATTAATTTTTTATGAATAGCGTGGCAAAAAGTTCGAAAAAAAAGAAAAATTTGTCTTTGACAAACGCTAAACCTAAATATTGATATTAATCAAAATATCAATATATCATGCGATTTATATTAATTTACTACATACATTTCTTCATTGAAACTTAATCACGACTGCTCCGCGTTCATATCGTATGACTGCGAATTTTTAACATAAATTATTCTCTCAAAAGGTCCTCCGACACGTTGGTCAGCTGCGAGAAAGTCCCCGGAACTACGCCTATATCGTAGTCTGCCATCCCGCCATCAAGACTATCGAGAGCCGTTGGATGACTCGGGCTTCGACGATAGAACATTGTCGAAACTCGAGGATTCGCGAGAGGAAAGTTTGAACGCGAGGGATTGCAAGGACGTCGAGGACACAGAAGACTGCGCGAATGTAGACGAAACGATCGAGAGGAGCACAGCGATCAATGAACGAACGAAACGAGAGAAATCGATCGGTAAATCAGAAGAGGAAGTGTCATCACCGGACACGGGAAAATTCAGCAGG